ATTGAAGCCCAGAAGCTTCCATTGCAGCAGCCAAATTCTTAACCTCAAGCGCGAAAGTTATGAGTGTCTCAAGTTTGTTACCGTTGTCAGGCGCTGACGAGCGCAGCTTTGCCAACAGATTATTTATTATTTGCTCTGGTCTACCACACACCATTCGCAGCGTCGATATTATCTCCGGCACCAGAGCCGGAATCATCAACTTACTGCTAACGTACTCAAGCGCCCTTCCCGTTAGGGCGCGTTGCAGACGAAGCAAGTTCTCCTCGTGGCTAAACCCACACAACCGCGTTGAATTCTCAAAACTACTTATAAACAGGGCCCATTCCTCTGGCCTGCCGCTAAAGGTGGGAAGATCTTTTGGTACCACATGCCGCGAGCTTATTTGCTGTGCAGTCAAGCCTATAGCGTTGGCCTCCGACGTTGTGCGTGCCTGAATTTGCTTCTCTTGCCCAACACCTGTTTCGAGCTGCCTCTCCTTAGGCCCACCTATACCGCCCTGACCATTGCCATTTGCCCATTGCAGTGTGCGACGCAACTTCAATGCCTCCAAATTTTCATCATCTGACTCGTCAGAGCTTTCATATTTGCGCATAATTTCATATTTCTGTCTTAAATATTTCAGTTCAGTCTCCTTTTGTTCTTCCAAACGCATTAATTCTATTTTCATATTTCGCTTCGATTTCGAAGAGCTACACTTACTTGACCTTTCACTCTTTTCACCTAACTTTTCAGTGTGCTCGTGCACGCTTGGTTGCCGATTCTGATTCGATGCCGTTCACAACGTTTTCGACGAGCTCGAGCTTGATGGTGGGGCACACCCTTTGCATTTCCATGCTCTTTCGGCCACATCCGTTACTCCTGCGCATCCAAAATGCGTCCCACTGTCGCATGCATCACACTGAACCATTTGCTCGCTTTCCGGCAGTTTGCATACAGCGCAGTCCACAGGTGCTTGATTGCTGTATTCAACGCCCTTTCTTGTGCCTACCATGCTGAAATTGTTGTTGTTTCAGACGAAAGCTATTTCTTCGATCTTCGGAATAGCTCGTACACCAGCCGATAGCGAATCGTGCGTCAAATTTTTAAAAGAATATTGGTCCAACCAACTGAAACAGCAGTCGAATCCGTCGGAATAACAAACACTCTCCTCTGGATAGTTCAACGAATGCTTTTAAAACTTTATTGAAAAGTAATAATTAATACAACTTACAAATCATAAAATCGTATTCAAGTACTCACATTTTGTTTTCTCAATCGCACGCTTTTCTTCGACCTTTCAAATCGAATCCAATACGTAAGAATGCAATATAATATTGAAGTAAAAGGAAAAGGGTTGCCTAGTGGCAATTTTTAAACATTAAAATGGTAGAGTTGCCGGATGACATATTCGTGCATAAAACCAAGGGTGAGTTCACACTTGGTGATTCATTTAAACTGTGGCGGTGTTACCAACATTCTCCCCCCGGTATCTCCCTCAATATGGGAGTACCCCACTTAAACACCGTCACTCCGTACATCTAGTACTGCTAATTTCGTCGCTGGTCGATGATATTGTCCTTGTGCAGTTCTCACGTTAGCACTTCTTACCTAGCCGTCTCTCCCTGGCAACGTAGATAAAATAACTCCTTTTGGCCAAGAATAGCGC